TAAGAGAAATATTCATTAGCAAAATAGACATGTAAATTAATAATTAGGCAGAAAGGCCTTCTAAATACTTCTGAAAATGTGGAAGACCAATTTGTGTTGTTCTTCCATGGAGAAAAAAAAAATTACCTTGTCCTTCACTTGTTATTATTGTTGTTACCTCTTGTCCAGTTACCCTTGACTCATGGGGACCCCATACACAACAAAACAAAATACTGTTCCATGTCTGCACCATCCCCAGGATTGACTGCAGATCAGTCCACTGTGATCCATAAGCCTTCTATTGGTTGATTTTGGGAAGCAGATCATCAGGCTTTCTTCCTATTCCATCTTAGTCTGGAAGTTCCACTGAAACCTGTTCAGCATCATAGCAACACATAAGCATCCATGGACATATGGTTGGTGGCTGTGCATGAAGTGCATTGGTTGGGAATCAAACTTGGGTCTCTTGATGGATGGAGAGAATTCTACCACTGGACCTCCAATGATAGATACTGTCCCCGGTTAGACCTCAAATTAAAGACTTTCGATCTTCTCATGGCTGCTGCACTATCCAAGTGTGTGTTGAACCCTGAAATGAACCTTTAGTGTGAGAGTCTAACTTGCACCTCTACATTTGTAGATGTTTTAGTCAAAGTTAGTTTTCTTTTTCAGTCAGTATTGAAGTCAAAAGTTACTAAAGGAATGAGATTCTGCATCTTTTAATGAAAGATAAAACAGCAATATAAACATACACAAATTTACAGAGAAGGGGTCAACTTTAATACATTTGGAGTAAAAGGTGTTTCTTATTTAAATATGGTATAAAAATAAATGCAAGAAACATTAACTAAGAATGTAGACAAGAGACAAAGACATGAGCTTGTTTCTGACTGAATACATTGGTGAAATGAAACTTTCTGTGCTAATTTATTGATTAATAATGTGAAGCCATATGTATATTTATTAATATCCTTTTTTTTTTTTTTTTTAAATTCATCCAGTTTGCAACTGACTGAATTTTTTGTGAACTTTGTGTTTAGCAGAAGCTTTGAGACAGAGGACAAAAAAAATTAAAAAATATATTTTACTTCACTTGAACTTCTTAAAAAGGAATGACACTGATCCAACCTAGTACAAGAAGGAAGTAAGCAGACAACATTTTGAATGGAGGCCTTGGGATGGTAAAGAGTCCCTTGGAGATGGCAATGCCTAAATGTATACACAAAAAAGAACGAGTCAGGTCCTTTGCTCATGCAACACCTTGGTCTAATGTCCTCTGTTCCAGGTAACAGTGAGCTACAAAATATGGGTAATGACTCCAATCTGCTTCCATGCTACAGGCTGATCCTTTTAGTATGACTGAACAAGGCTTGTTAACTTCTTTGACGTGAGAGATTTCCCCTGAGGAAAAATAAAACACAAGAGAAAATAAAAACAGAAAATAGAGTGTGAGCACTAAAAACTTGCTTACTAGTAACATGCATTTATTAGGTTGAAATTTGTGCAAGGGTCAAAACTGACCCTTTAGGTACATCTTAGTTTAAACATTATGACCAGTCTCCCTCTGTCCCTCCCTCCCCCCACCATCACATCAAACAAAGTGACCCTCCATTCCTCCTTCCACCCTCTCAGCCCTCTCACCCCCTCCCTCCTCACTGCAAACAGACTGATGGTTTCACAGCACAGATTAGCAAATCATAAAACATGTCCATAAACATTCCATTGAGGCTTAGCAGTGATGCAACACCTAGGCTGGCAACTGGTTATAAACATGAGTTACAACAAATCTTAGTAAGCTGCTCTGAAAGATAGCAATGTGAATGTATTCTTGTTTAATTGCTGAAATGAGTGTTGTATTTATAAATATCTGGATTTATAGAGGGCATGATTTAATTAAATAAAATGCATTTTTGAGGATGTGATTGGTGGAAATTCAAGACCATCCTTTGTTCTATATAGTGATGGAGAAAAGGGTTCCAAGTATACATCTTTGGTCCGTATTTCAGATTATATAGACTACCAACTGACTTCCTTCAAAATTAACTTCAGAGAAATGCCATGTATGTGGACTCTACATAAAGTGTTAATAACTAGAGTACATATTTCTTTATTTATTTGAAATCTTGCAAGTCAATACTGTCCCTGTTAATTACAACTAAACTAGTGAGATAAGAAATTTAAAATTTCTGGTCAGAATCACAGATTGCTGACTGCTTTCTGTTTTATCTCTCACTTTATATACATTATATAAAAATAGATGGTGCACTTATTGAATCAAATTTTACTTCTCAGATGACTACATAATAGGAGAAGATCCAAAGTGTTTTTGAGAACTATAATAGTTTTGTAGTATCTTACAGCCATAGCCATCATCTTGATCTGATACCTAATGTGGCTCAGATAAAGGAATAGTGGGGTGTTGGGAGAGAAATCATCACGTGTGGCCACATCTTTAGAAAAGAACAATATGTTTGAGAGATGATGAATAAAGGCCCTTCTTCTAGCATGAAGAGCAGTAATGAACATCACGTGCCATTTTCTTTTAATTGGGGATACATGTTCACAACTTAGTTTTTACCAACTAATAAGCCAAAACTTAACTGCTGACGAGTCAATTTGACTCATAGTGACCTCCTCTTGTGTTTCCAAGGAGGTATCTCTACGCAAATAGATTGCCCATGAAGTTTAAGGAAGACATTTTCCACTAGGCTCTTTTTTAGTTACTTTATGGGAGAAAAATAGTAACACAGGAAAAAGCAGTTTGTTAAATAAGACACCCTAATTTACAATCGACATTAGCCTTATAAACAAAGTACACATTTCTTGCCACCACTGCTCTGCCTCAGTTTCCTGATACATGACATGGGCATAATATTAATGTCTATTGTGAAAGCTTGTTTTGAAGAATATTACATGTAAATTGCTTAAAACTATTCTTATAACATTCTAGGTACTCAGTTTATGTTGGTTGTTGTTGTTATTACTATTATTATTATTAGTTCTCCTCATTGGGACATCCAGATCTAAAGTCTGAGAAGGACAGCTAATTAACTGCTAATTAACTGAAATGTTGTAAGTATCCTGCGTTTTCACCCAACCTCTGGGAAAAGTTTAACCAAATAATATTGGAATCAAAAAACAACTTTTCCATAGTTGAAGACTATGCTGCTTCCTATACTGATTACTGTATTGTCTTGCACTCTTAATATAAATGCATACATGTGTGCATATACATTTATTCTAACTATGAATAATTTATCCTTAAAAAATGTTTAGTCTTTCTCAAGCCCTTTGTGGGATGGAAGGAAGTATATATCGTTGGAGGCACCAGAGTGAATTCCTTTATAACAGAGGACCAGGGGAAAGATGCTAATATAAAATCATTTCTATTAAAACTACAGATTAATATGATTTGGTTGAAAATACTGGAACAAAGAGTGAAAAAGTTCTATTAATTAAAATAGGAAGCCATTTACAACTTAGATGCAGTTATTTTTGTTTGGATTGTGGAAACTACTATAAATTTAATAAAAAAGTAACACAGTTTATTTCTATATTTTTTCTGTAAATATCCTTAAGGTTACTAGTACTTGGCCTAGCACAAACTTCATTAACAGGGTGTAATGTACAAGTTTAGCTTAATGAGCACATCTCCCAGGAGACAATTAAAAAAAGCTTTCCTGGAAGTCCATAGAGAAATGCAAGCCTACAGTAAAACTGGATTTACTGGTATTACAACTTTTATATTTGTGTTATAATAGAAAACAGACAAACAGAATTGGGGAAATATATGTATACACATAATGTAGTAAAAAAAAATGGAACTCTTTGTGTGATAGTGATATGAACTTACTAAATATGAAATAAGGATACTTGTTTTATGTATTGGATACAATTTGGTAAAATTAAGTAAAAATAAGTTGCCTGCTGGGGTCAAAAATAAAATCAAAGTGTAAATACCAAATGTGTAGTCTAGATCTGATGTCCTAGATCACTTGGATTTAGACCAGTTGGCAAACAGCAGTGCAGTGGGAGCTATGTGAACAAGGCAGGATTTGAAAAACATGTACTAACCCTGCCTTATTCACATGCTACAAGAAAAAAACACATATTCTAGTGCATAAAAAACTACAGAATGTGCACTGTGAATTGCTCAATCTATTGGAAAGTCTCAAAGGAAAAGGAAAAATGATCCTCTTTCTTATGTGTAAGAAAAATATATTTGCATATCAGTGATTTTCTAACACTCATGTTCTGTGGTTTCTTGGAAGCTGTACAGAATATCAACTCCTGCCAATAATCTTTTCACACTTTTTCTAAGTTGAAAAATCTGATAAATTTTTATAGGTAAGCTCTAAATTCTTGATCTGGAAACTAATAGAGCTTTTAAAAAACAAAGCAAAGCAAATAAACAAACAGGGAAAAAATAACAAAGCAAAATAAAACAAAACAAAAACCCTTACCAATAGTATTTTTTTACCAAGTTTCTCTATAGTTGAATTCCGTATGAATAATATTTTTAAAAAATAACTATGTATGTGTAATGTGATTTATACCATTTCCTGTCAGATTCTAAAGGAAATATATTACAGCAAAAACAGAAAACCATAGAGGAAGACAAATACAGAAACTCAGAACAAAACAAAACAAAAACTCAACAAATGACCTTAACAGTTGACCCTAGGAGATTCTGTAGTGTCTAGTTAATTGGCAATTTTTAGAAAAAGATGCACATAATCAATTTGAGGAAACAAACAAATCTAAATGAATACAGAGCACTTTCTTAATCTATACAATAATCTTACAGATAAAAAGAGTTTTCTAGTGTTTTACTATAAAATTTCACTTTTGCCACTCAATTCCTCTCTATCCTAAATGCTATGTGGAGGTTTTGTTAAAATAAGGAAAACTCAAAAAGAATCAAAAACCTATGTGTTTGTTCTCAGATTTTCCAATTTTGTGATAAATAGTTATGGAATTTACCTGGTTTTTAAAATCATTCTTGGTCTTAAAGTAACAGATAGTTGATAAAAAGGAGCAATAGCTTGGTAGAAATGGTGAGGGATTTGGGATAAGAAAGGACAAAACTTGCCATTGCTCTTCTATTGGTTTATGTGACCTAATTATCTGACCAGTTACTAAGGACACAAAGTCAAGGTGATAGCCACACTCTATGTGGGTTAGGCCACATAGTAAGAATTGCATTAATCATTTAGGAAGGTTGGGCAATCCTACTTCCGTAGTGATACTGCCTTGGAACCCGAGGAGGGGTCGCTATGAGTCGGGGCCGACTTGACGGCAAATAACAACAACAACAACAACTGATGAACAGGAGAAAAGGTAAGAAGTGAGCAAATTTTGTACAGTGAACAAAACAAACAAAAACCCACAAATCCACTGCCACTGACTCAATTCTGACACATAGGAACACTATAGGACAGAGTAGAACTTCCCCACAGGGTTTTCAAGGTTGTAAATCTTTACTGAAGCAGACTGCCTCCATCATTCTAATGAAGAGCGTCTAATGGGTTTTAATCACCCACCCTTTGGTTAGAAGCCAAATACTTTAACCACCACACCAGCAGGGGTCCTAAGTATGGGGAAGAATATGAAATTATTAAGTGAGAAAACATTAGAAGCTCTCTTTTCCAATGAAGCCTCATTCATATTTAGTTTGACAATTTTAAAAGCATCTTTACTTTATCAGGGAGCTCTGGTGGCATAGTGCCTAAGGCATTTAACTGCTAACCAGCAGTCTGGAGATTCAAACCCATCAGCCACTCCTTGGAAGGAAGATCGGGCAATCCACTTCCATAATGATACCACCTCAGAAACCCAAGGAGGGGTCGCTATGAGTTGGATCCGACTTGACTGCAGTGCGTTTGGTTTGGTTTGGTTTACTTTATCAAGTCTTCTCTTAAGTGTTCAACTTAGTTTTCATAAAAAATCTCTTTTTTTCTGTTCATACCCAAATTTTACTATCTTACATAATATTTAAATTAATTGTGTTATATAGTAAACTCAATCATGATAAACTATTATGAGAACAAACATAATTGAGTCTTAGTAGCAACAATGAAAGTGGTGGTTGTAGAAGTATAACCAGAGAGTAGCCTCTCAGCTGGGACATTTGATGTGCCTTTTGATATGTATCAAGGAGCTCTAGTGGCACAGTGGTTAAAAATATCCACTGCTATCCAAAATGTCAGTGGTTCAAGCTCACCAGCCTTTCCACAGGAGAAAGCTGTGACAGTCTGCTTCCATATTACTTTCAGCCTTGGAAAACCTATGAGGCAGTTGGACAATGGCAGTGGGTTGGTTGACTTCTATCAATGGAGACAGTGGAGAAAATTAACTAATCTAGGACAGTGGGCTTCAAAGTGTGGCCTCAAAAACAGCTG